ACCGACTGCCAACTTTGCTTAGATTGATGTTACACCACCTTCCGCTGGATCAGTAACTCTTTCCAGTGCCGAATATGAGGCACTTCTCAAGAAGGTTTCCTCTCAGCATCCCACTCAAGAAACTAGTAATCATGTTGCTTGCCTTTCTCAATCATTTCTTGGACCCTGAATAATAGACTTAGGTGCTACTCATCACCTTTGTGATAATAAGGATCTTTTCACTTCACTTTCTTATTCTAATAATTTACCCTCTGTTACTCTAACTGATGGCACTAAGGCTCCTGCTCGTGGAATTTGGGAAGCCAACCCAACTCCCTTTTTAGCCTTGACCTCTGTTTATTATATACCCGACATTCCTTTTAATTCAATTTCTGTTAGCCAGTTGATTCAGTCTCTTTCATGTATTGTTACCTTCTCTAAACAATCCTTCTCTATGCAGGATCCGGGTACGGGGAAGACGATTGGAGCGGGCATTGAGTCACGAGGTCTTTACTATTTGATTGCACCACCTTCTCCAGTAGCATGTTCACTCACAGAGTCTCCTGAGCTACTTCACAGTCGTCTGGGTCATCGAAGCCTCTCCAAGCTTCAGCATATGGTTCCTTTTTTATCTAGTCTTAAGTCTTTAAATTGTCAGTTTTGTCAGCAAGGAAAACACACTCGCTCCTCCTTTGCTAATAGAGTCAATAAAAGAGCTGATGCTCCCTTTTCTATTGTTCATTCTGACATTTGGGGTCCGAGTCAAACAATGTCTGTTTTGGGTTTTCAGTATTGTCACCTTTATTGATGATTTCTCTCGTTGTACTTGGGTTTATTTAATGAAAAATCGTTCTGAATTATTTTCAATTTATAAAAAAATTTGTGCTGAAATAACTACTCAATTGGGTGCTTCTATTCAAATCCTGCGTAGTGATAATGCAAGAGAATATGTGTCTTTTGAATTTTCTAATTTTTTGGAGAAACGTGGAACGATACACCAGACCACTTGCCCACACACTCCACAACAAAATGGAGTGGTTGAACGTAAAAATAGACATCTGGTTGAAACTGCACGTACCCTACTAATTCACATGAATGTTCCACTCCGTTTTTGGGCAGATGCTATAATCACCTGTTGCTTTCTCATCAATCGCATGCACTCTTCCGTACTTAATAATGAAGTGCCATATAGTGTTTTATTTCCAGGAGCACCTTCCTATCCTCTACCTCCACATGTATTTGGATGTACGTGCTTTGTTCATGATCTTACTCCAGGTAAAGATAAGTTAACATCCAAAGCTTTCAAGTGTGTTTTCGTTGGATACACTCGTTTTCAAAAGGGGTATCGTTGCTATTCTTCTAATCTCAAGCGTTATATTGTTTCGGCTGATGTCACTTTCCTTGATCAACAACCTTTTCATTCTATCCCGTCTCAGATAACACAAGTTGATCATGTTCTTCCTGTTCCTTGTCTTGATTTGTCTTTACCAGTTGCAAATGACTCTATCCCGGAATAGCTACCCCTTGCCTCCATCCCTTAGGAACGTCCTTTTCTCACCTATCAGCGTCGTCAGCCTGCGCCTCCAGCATATTTGACTCTTACGACTCACCACTTGCTCCAGTCGACTCTTCCCCTCCGGATCCTCCATCAGAGATTACTCCCATTGCCCTTCGCAAAGGTATTCGATCCACTCGCAACCCTCATCCACTTTATAGTTTCTTGAGTTATGATAGACTTTCTTCACCACATTTTACTTTTGTTTCTAGTCTTTCGTCTGTTTCTATTCCTAAAACAACCGGTGAAGCACTATCTCATCCGGGTTGGCGTTGGGCGATGATTGATGAAATGCAAGCACTTCATTCCGATGGCACCTGGGATCTTGTTCATGCTCCTCCCGGAAAGTCAGTGGTCGGCTGTCGATGGGTATTCACTGTCAAAATTGGTCCTGATGGCACTGTTGATCGCCTCAAAGCTCGTTTGGTGGCCAAAGGTTACACTCAGATATTTGGTCTTGACTATGGGCATATTTTTTCTCCTGTTGCCAAGATGGCATCTGTCCGCCTATTTCTTGCTCTTGCTGCTGTTCGTCACTGGCCACTCCTTCAACTTGACATCAAAAATGCCTTTCTTCATGGTGATTTGCAAGAAGAAGTTTACATGGAGCAACCACCGGGTTTTGTTGCTCAGGGGGAGTCTGGAAAAGTGTGTCGTCTTCAAAAATCCTTACATGGTCTCAAGCAGTCTCCTCGAGCATGGTTCAGTCGCTTCAGTTCTGCCGTTCAGGCGTTTGGCTTAATCCGCAGTAAAGTTGATCATTCTGTATTTTATAGGATTACATCTCCTGACAAGTGCATCTATTTGTTAGTCTATGTTGATGACATCATTCTCACTGGAAGTGATCAAGACGGAATTCGTCAGTTAAAACAACATTTATTCAGTGCATTTCAAACAAAGGACCTTGGGAAGCTGCGTTACTTCTTGGGAATTGAGGTGGCGCAATCTAGACAGGGCATTTCTATTTGTCAAAGGAAGTATGCCTTGGATATCCTTGAAGAAACTGGTATGTTGGAGAGTAAACCAGTTGATACACCCATGGATCCTAATGTCAAGTTATTGCCCGGACAGGGGGAGCCGTTATCTGATCCTGGACTTTATCAGAGGCTAATTGGGAAGCTCAATTATCTTACGTGACTAGGCCAGATATTTCTTTCGCTGTTAGTACGGCTAGTCAGTTCCTTGATTCCCCTTGTGATTCCCATTGGGATGCTACTGTGAGGATCCTCCGATACATCAAAGGAGCACCAGGAAAAGGGTTGTTGTATTCAGATCAGGGAAATACAAAAATTTGTGGTTATTCAGATGCTGATTGGGCAGGATCACCCTCGGACAGGCGCTCTACTTCTGGCTATTGTGTCTTCTGTGGAGGAAACTTAATTTCGTGGAAGAGCAAGAAACAACCTGTAGTTGCTCGGTCTAGTGCAGAAGCTGCGTATCGTACAATGGCAAATACTACCTGTGAGTTAATCTGGTTAAAGCAGTTGATTCAGGAACTTCATCTTTGTGAACAGAAACAACCAATGACACTCATCTGTGATAATCAAGCTGCGCTACATATATCCTCTAATCCTGTCTTCCATGAGAGGACCAAACATATAGAGATTGATTGTCACTTCATTCGAGAAAAGATTCAATTAGGAGAAATCAAGACTGCTTTCGTCAACTCCTCTAATCCACTCGCGGATGTCTTCACTAAAGCTCTTAGAGGTCCTCGGGTTCAATACATTTGTAACAAGCTTGGTGCTCACAATATATACGCACCAGCTTGAGGGGGAGTGTTAGATATGATTAGATATGATTAGTCTGATTAGATATGATTAGTCTGTAATTATTCTGATTGTATTAGGTCTGGGCCTTTCCTATAAGCCCATTAGAGTCTCTATATATTGTAACTCTCTGAATTAAATCAATACACAACATATTATTTTATATTCAAGTATAGCGATACATTCTCTCCGGTCGCTAAGATGGCGTCAGTTTGCCTATTTCTTGCTCTTGCTGCTGTTCGTCACTGGCCACTCCTTCAACTTGACATCAAAAATGCCTTTCTTCATGGTGATTTACAAGAAGTTTACATTGGAGTAACCACCTGGTTTTGTTGCTCAAGGGGAGTCTGGGAAGGTTAGTCGTCTTCACAAATCCTTATATGGTCTCAAGCAGTCTCCTCGGGCATGGTTCAGTCGCTTCAGGTTCTACTGTTTAGGCGTTTGGCTTAATTCGCAGTAAAGTTGACCATTCTGTATTTTATAGGATCACATCTCCTGATAAGTGCATCTATTTGTTAGTCTATGTTGATGACATCATTCTTACCGGGAGTGATCAAGCTGAAATTCATCAGTTAAAACAGTATTTATTAAGTCAATTTCAAACAAAGGACCTTGGGAAGCTGCGTTACTTCTTGGGAATTGAGGTGGCACAATCTAGACCGGGCATTTCTATCTGTCAAAGGAAGTATGCCTTGGATATCCTAGAAGAGACTAGTATGTTGGGCTGTAAACCAATTAATACACCCATGGATCCCAATGTCAAGTTATTGCCCGGACAGGGGAGCTGTTATCTGATCCTGGTCGTTATCGGAGGCTAATTAGGAAGCTCAATTATCTTACTTGACTATGCCAGACATTTCTTTCGCTGTTAGTATGGCTAGTCAGTTCCTTGATTCCCCTTGTGATTCTCATTGGGATGCTGCTGTGAGGATTCTCCGATACATCAAAGGAGCACCAGGAAAAGGTTTGCTGTATTCGGATTAGGGAAATACAGAAATTTGTGGCTATTCAGATGCTGATTGGGCAGGATCACCCTCAGACAGGCGCTCTACTCCTGGCTATTGTGTCTTCTTTGGAGGAAACTTAATTTCTTGGAAGAGCAAGAAACAACCTGTTGTTGCTCGATCTAGTGCAGAAGCTGAGTATCGTGCAATGGCAATTACTACATGTGAGTTAATCTGGTTAAAGCAGTTGATTCAGGAGCTTCATATTTGTGAACAGAAACAACCCATGACACTCATTTGTGATAATCAAGTTGCGCTACATATATCCTCTAATCCTGTATTTCATGAAAGAACCAAACATATAGAGATTGATTGTCACTTCATTCGAGAAAGGATTCAGTTAGGAGAAATCAAGACAGCTTTTGTCAACTCTAATGATCAACTAGCGGATGTCTTCACTAAAGCTCTTAGAGGTCCTCGGGTTGAATACATTTGTAGCAAGCTTGGTGCTCACAATATATACGCACCAGCTTGAGGGGGAGTGTTAGAATAGATATGATTAGATTACTTCCTATCTGTAAATATTCTTATTGGATTAGATCTGGGCTTCTCACTTAAGCCCATTAGGGTCTCTATATATTGTAACTCTTTGTATTAGATTAATATACAACACATTATTTTATATTCAAGTGGCATCATCTCTCAATGATTTGTCAAATTAGGAACATAAAACACAGGTTTAAATCAAAGTACCATATCGTTACCAAACTTGTAGGAGAAGTCAAGAACAGCCACATCCCTGCTCGGGTGGAGATTAATGATTTCAAGTGGGCATTGCACCTATGCAACCATGAGAGGAAAATTATATATAAATCTAACAAAATTAGAAAAGAATACTTTACAGTAGCAATGGTTTCTCACCTGTGCCCGGGGAGGTATAGTTTCTGGTACTAGTGAGAGCTCAATCTTCAAATGAGTGGGAGGCAATATTACAGCTTGAACAGAGACAAGAGGATAAGTATTCTTGTTCCCCAAGAAAAGAACAAGACGCCCATGATGAGCTCTCCATTCTGCTTTGATGCCAACCTGTTGCAAATACATGAATATACAAAAAACCCATGAACACAAGAAATCTACTATAACCTTGAACGTAATTAATATAAAAAATAGAGGTCTCTACAATTGCAAGAATATATGATTTAGTCAAAACAAAAACTACTCAAGATTCAATTGTATTGGAGAAAAATGAAGAGAAAACCTGAATGTAAGGATCCTCATATAGAACCCCACTATCCTTCAAGCACAAAGAAAGAAATCTTTCAGCAGTATTTCCAATTGGCTGCACATACAAAGGGTAAAAATTGTTATTTTCCAATACATACAATTTGTTTAGCAGTAATATCATTTCAATGTAGAACAATGAGGAATGGAGTCTATAGGGGAAAGAGGATGCACGCCAAATGGACTATCATAAACTTGTGCAACATTCAAGTAAAGGAATAACTTTGGCATACAAATTAACAATGTGGTTCATCCTGAATTTTCATCTTTTGTGTAAAAGAAAAATTAAATTAATATATAAATACATGGTTCTAGATTACAAATGGTCTGCAGTAACATTCCAGTAACACATTGGGTAAAGCAAAAGACTTCATAATTATTATGGTACTTAAATCAATGAAGGTACCTGCAAAGAATTGCCCTGCTCTCCAGCAGGTACTATGGCTGAGGATTCAACTGCAGTACCTTCCAGTTCCCAATTTGTACTGGGCTGAGGTTGGACACTGCTACTGGGAGGGCCCTCAATAGCCAAGAGATCACCGAGGAGATCGGCAGGGGGAGGTTGAGAACCTACTTTACTCATAGTCCCATTTTCCTGGGATAAACTTTGATCTTCTGAATTATTATCCTGAATAAAAATGAAGTCAAGATCAAACTAAGAAGCACTAGGAGGAAACATGTTTTGGATAATATGGATAATAGTGTAATACTGTAACCCATCTAATGTTGACAAAAATGATAATGTAAAAAACAAAACACAAAAAGGGGTGGGCATGGAGGGAAGAACTAACCACATTACTGTTTGAGCTGGGGTTGGGCATCTTTACAATACCAAGTTGGCTGACAGGTGGCGTTCCATTGGCAGGGCGTTGGTCAGTTACAACCAAAGTATTTGAAGTTTGAGAAAGCTGCTGAGCTCGCAACTTTATAGCACTTTGTTCTGCAGTATCGACTTCAGTATCTTCAGCCTTTTTTATCAATGCAGACTGAATTCAAAGAAGAGCAATCCATGAGCATTATCCCGTTGATGACTAAACTGATCAAACAAAAATGTAAATAAGATGGCTCTGAAATAATAGAGCAAAAATACCTGCCGCTCAGGGAATTTAGGCATTTCAGCCAATATATCTACTAGAACCGCACCTTTTCTACTCAGTGCAAAATATTCAACAGCTCGTTGCTGTATCTCAACTTCAATGCAACTCTCATATCTTAAAACATGAGAAAATGGGTCAGAAAAACCTACATCATTCTGGCAAACCATAGACCAATCCATAATAGATGAATTGCAGAGAGGTAAATCTCACTTCTTAAATATTGCCCATATCTGATTCTGTAGTTCAGGGTCTGGTGGTTGAGTGTGCATAAGAATTTTAGCATATGTTGAGAGGAGAATAGGAATAGTGGAAGTCCTGAAAATAAAGCATGTCTCATAAGGTATCTAGGCCAAATGGAACCCAGCTATGAATTAATTGAGGAATATGGTCTGATTCCCCTTACGATACAGTAGGAAGCTTCTCATGTATAATGTTAAATATTTCTTTTGGACTACAACCGGGTTGTCTCACTAGAAGGTGTCCAAACTCTCCAAGGATGTATGCACTAACCTGTTGAAGTGTATCCAGATGAGAAACCGATATTAGGTTAATACAGGACTAAAATCAGACCTCATGCTCTGTCTCAGTGATTTGATAAACTAAAAAATGATTTAGTAACCGAATGAAACAATAGAGAGTAAAATTCATGAATAAACAGAAAAATATACTCATCAATTGTTAGAGATTCCCAAATGTTAATAGTTAGTTACAAATAGTTACAGTACACTACCGATAGCTAGTCAGCGCAATTGAGCTCAGTTTTAGACCTAATGGGTCAAGCCCAATTCACCAAGGAAAGGGAAGAGGTCATGAGGCAGGGAAGTATGGTCTGATCAAATGAGGAGGATTTGCTTCAAAGGACAACCAGGCTATCATTAGATGTTGGGTCACCTTACCATGCACAGCCCCGCCTCCTTGCTGGATACTTTCAAGCTCAATAATATACTAAGATCCAGCTTTTGTCGTGGCAGCAAGTTCAGCAAAGCTCAAAATCACATATTCCCTGTTTAGTGCACCCAAAACAGAGCTCTAGAATTCAGCAACCCGACCAACCCTTCACCTTGAAGACAAGTTGAATCTTGAGGAGGGAAGTATTGTTAGAGATTCCCAAATCCCAAATATCAACAGTTAGTAACCAGGTTTAATAGTAAGGTACCAATAGTTAGAACTATAAGTTAGAGAGGTTGGAATAACAATGGTTTAGCTTAAATGGGAGGAAGGATAGAAGGAGATTAGTTAGTGTGGAAAAACAGAGCAGTGGCTTTGCAAGGGGATACTGCTAGAGGAGATTTTTTTCCTTTGTTCTTTGTTTGAGATTCAATAAACACTATCAAAGTACTCTTTTTCCTTTCCTTTCTCCGTTTTTCTCAGATCTTTCTCTCTGGAAACTCACAACCCATTTCTAAGTTCCTAACATCATCATTCAGATTTAACTATTTAGTTATCCAGCACTATCCTCATTTTGTAAAGGTAGTTTTAGTTTTTATAAAGCGGCCAATTCAACCCAAAAAGTTAAGCTCTTAAGTGAAGATCATATTATTAATTTTATATTATATTCCTCTATCACGTCCCCTAAAATAAGATCTCATTAAATTTGAAGGGTGCACAATGTACAGGCCAATCTATCCATGTCAAGAAACTCCATAATATTTAATCATTTAATAATAAATTGGGACGGTGAGGATCAAACTCATAACCATTTGATCACAGTGACTCTGATATAATATAAAGCGCCAGTTCAATCCAAAGATTTAAGCTATTAAGTGAAGGCCACGTTAACGGTTTTATACTATATTTCTCTGACAGTTTTATTACCATAAACTTTGAAATGATAAAAAAGGAAAATATTCTAAAGAGATTTGCAAAAACATTACAAACTGATAATCAAATTTAACAATGGAAACACTTAAACGGCCACAGTTACTAGAATCGCACAATTCATGATTCGAAGCACACGATTCAATATGATTTGCTAAGCCAGTGATTCATATCACGTGATGAATCGGAGATGACTTTGAGTCGTGCAATACAAGCATGAATCAGTATGATTCCATATTACTGTTATGAATCGCAATATTCAACAACTCTGCATAACAGAGAATTGAAAAGTCAAATAAGCTTTAGTTGTTAAATCAAAAGAAACTAAAGGAGGAACGTCATTAAATGCATCTTATTTGATTATTTCATTGCCTTGTTTTCATTATTTTGAAACAAGGCCTCACACGTCACTCGTTCGCTCTATGCCTCCTATTTGGCTATTACATTGCTTTGTTTTCTTTCTTTTGAAACAAAGGTCTCCATAATTACTTGCTCATATATGCCCTTTATTTGGCTATACCATTGCTCTGTTTTTGTTCTTGTAAAGAACTAATTCAACCTAAAAGATTAAGCTGTTGGGTAAGGCTACCTTAATGGTTTTATACTTCTCTAACATGCCCCCTGACACGAGAGCCTACTCGTCATGAAGGGTGGATAATGCACAGGCTCTAAGAAATTCCACAAGAAAAAATGGGGGGCGGTGAAGGTCGAACTCGAGACACGAAGCTCTGATACCATGTAAAGAACCAATTCAACCCAAAAGCTTAAGCTATTGGGTGAGGCTACATTAATGGTTTTATATATCTCTAACACGCCCCCTTACAAGAGAGCCCATTGGGCTTGAAAGGAGGATGATGTATCAAGCCCAACCTACCTATGCTAAGAAATTTCACAAGAGAAAGTGGGGGGAGGTGAGGATCGAACTCGTGACATCGAGGTTCTAATACCATATAAAGAACCAATTCAACCCAAAAACTTAAGTTGTTGTGTGAGGCTAGAGTTAACCTCCGAGTGATCAAGTGATGATGCTACCATTAAAACAAATTATAAATGCAATAGAAAAATTTGCAGAACCAAGTGAATGGAGGCAAACAATAGCCAATCAAGAAGAAACACGAGCCGAATGTGAGACCCACAAAGAAACAAGGACAGATCTGGAAAGAGGAGGAAAAACTGAGTTGTTCTGTCCCGGAACAGTGCACACGCGCCGGTGAAGGGTGGGGCGTGAGCACCACGCGCAGGGAGAGGAAGCCAGGCGTGAAGGCACATGGGGGCTCCTCTGGTGATGGATCTTCCATAGAGCTGGTTGCCAGAGAGGGGGATCTAATCGTAGGTGTTCCGGTTGAACGGAGGTTGTGGCGACGGATGGTGGTTCTAACGGTTGAAGAAACAAGGCGGAGGGGCACGCGACGTAGAGGACCTGCCAGAGGGACACACGGCTGATGAAGATTTGCCAAAAGGACGGATGGCAAAGTAGAAGAGAACTTCCAAGCAGTGGGCTTAGGATTTTAGCGGAAGCGGATCCCCAGAACAAATAGTTTTGTACCAACTTGAGATTGAATAATTGTGTATTACAACTGTACAAGAGTTCTCTATTTAAAGAGACGAAGTGACCTAATGAGCTAAGCCCACAAGATGTGAGACTATTCTATTATATACATTGAACTATTCTAACAACTACTCTAACAGTTCTTATGAAACATAAGCTTCATAGAATCACTTTATGTGACTTAGTTATGATTTATGATCTTGTTTTTTGAAACTTATAGTTGTTTGGTCAATTCCTTGATCCAAGTTCAAATTTAATAGATTGAACATTATAAATCATTTATGTGAAATATTTCCAATTCAATACGATTGAGGATTTGAATTGCAATTTGATAACTTGATAACGGATAATGAATTCTCAATACATACAAGGTTGAGGATACAAATTGTTGGGTGAAAAGTTTCGTTGTTTACTGTTTTTTATTTTCCCTTGTCAAGAACCAAATAAACTTAAACTATTAGGTGAAGACAAATGAATGATTTTATATCTTTAACACGACCCTTCATGCAATAGGGCTTGAAGTATAGATAATGCGCGTACCCACTTAACTTGTGCTGAAATACAACTTTTATTTAAAAGAATAAAAGTGGCAACAACTCTTGACCACTTGGCTATAGAGGCTACAATATCATGTCAAGGACCAACTCTCCCGTATGCATAAGTTATTACGTAAAGGCAAATGAATAGTTTAATATCTCTAACACCACGACTCCCTTCCTAGAGAAGGCATGGAAACAGCCCAATAGATTCAACCAATACATATCTTTTCCCTCATATTCTGGCTTCCTCATGAACCTTTAATTCATTTCGTTCTAATATGAATTAATGCCTTGCAAGCACATTTTAGAATTTAGAAACCATCACCACTGAATGATACGTTAACAGATAAATCTTATGCAATATCAACCAACTAATACCAATCGAACAATTACTGAATAGTGATTAAAGCACACATACTTTAACCATTGTCTCGTGTATGGCAGATTTATCAAGATACTCCCGAGCTTTTGCTGCAGCGTAGGACTGATCAAAGACATAAAAAGTCCTTGTTAATGATGCTTATACAAGAAAGAAATAAATAGTTGCTACAAACTTCAAACTAACCTGTAGGTCTTCGTTGTTTGTAACAAATTGCACCACACGGAACCAGATGTCATCACTAACAAATTCTCCAGCCTTGTCAATTAATTGAAGAATCACATCAACATACCTGTAAAATACAGATAGTATGATATCGATATATAGATAACATCAACAATAAGTTTGCCTCATGATGGCTTGGGAATTTTAGTACTTAACTACAGGAGTATTTTATCAAATACTGCATAAAATTTACATTTTCTTACATCCCTTCACAGTTCCAGAAATTGTTCAGATATCAATGATTTACAGTTCATATGCTCAGTTAAATGTAAAAGAATACGTTGTGTATTGATCTGTGTCAGGGAGTTACAATATATAGAGACCCTAATGGGCTTAAGTGTAAGGCCCAAACCTAATCCAAACCTAATCCTAATACAGTCAGAATACAGTCAGACTATTTACGGATAAGACAGAATCCAATCATATCTAATCAAATCTAATCATATCATATCTAATATTCTAACACTCCCCCTCAAGCTGGTGCGTATATATTATGAGCACCAAGCTTGTTACAAATGTATTCAACCCGAGGACCTCTAAGAGCTTTAGTGAAAACATCTGCTAGTTGATTAGACGAGTTGACAAAAGCTGTCTTGATTTCTCCTGATTGAATCTTTTCCCGAATGAAGTGACAATCAATCTCTATATGTTTGGTCCTTGCACGATATATGTAGCGCAGCTTGATTATCACAGATGAGTGTCATGGGTTGTTTCTGTTCACAAAGATGAAGCTCCTGAATCAACTGCTTTAACCAGATCAACTCACAGGTAGTATTTGCCATTGCACGATACTGAGCTTCTGCACTAGATCGGGAAACAACAGGTTGTTTCTTGCTTTTCCATGAGATTAAGTTTCCTCCGAAGAAGACACAATAACCAGAAGTAGAGCGTCTGTCCGAGGGTGATCCTGCCCAATCGGCATCTGAGTAACCACAAATTTCTGTATTTCCCTGATCCGAATACAACAAACCTTTTCCTGGTGCTCCTTTGATGTATCGGAGGATCCTCACAGCAGCATCCCAATGTGAATCACAAGGGGAATCAAGGAACTGACTGGCCGTACTGACAGCGAAAGAAATATCTGGCCTAGTCACAGTAAGATAATTGAGCTTCCCAATCAGCCTTCGATAACGTCCAGGATCAGATAACGGCTCCCCTTGTCTGGGCAATAACTTAACATTAGGATCCATGGGTGTATCAACTGGTTTACACCCCAACATACCAGTCTCTTCTAGGATATCCAAGGCATACTTCCTTTGACAGATAGAAATGCCTTGTCTAGATTGCGCCACCTCAATTCCCAATAAGTAACGCAGCTTCCCAAGGTCCTTTGTTTGAAATGCACTGAATAAATGTTGTCTTAACTGACGGATTCCGTCTTGATCACTTCCGGTGATGATGATGTCATCAACATAGACTAACAAATAGATGCACTTGTTAGGAGATGTAATCCTATAGAATACAGAATGGTCAACTTTACTGCGAATTAGGCCAAACGCCTGTACAGCAGAACTAAAGCGACTGAACCATGCTCGAGGAGACTGCTTGAGACCATATAAGGATTTTCGAAGACGACATACTTTCCCAGACTCCCCCTGAGCAACAAAACCAGGTGGTTGCTCCATGTAAACTTCTTCTTGTAAATCACCATGAAGAAAAGCATTTTTGATGTCAAGTTGAAGGAGTGGCCAGTGACGAACAGCAGCAAGGGCAAGAAATAGGCGGACGGACGCCATCTTAGCGACTGGAGAGAATGTATCGCTATAATCAAGACCAAATATTTGAGTAAAACCCTTGGCAACTAGGCGTGCCTTGAGACGATCAACATGGCCATCAGGTCCAACTTTCACAGTAAACACCCAGCGACAACCAACTATAGACTTCTCTGGAGGAGCGGAAACAAGGTCCCAAGTGCCATTGGTATGAAGTGCGGTCATCTCATCAAGCATCGCTTGGCGCCATCCTGGATGGCAAAGTGCTTCACCTGTGGTCTTAGGAATAGAAACAGAAGAAAGACTAGAAACAAAGGTGAAATGAGGAGAAAGACGATCATAGCTCAAGAAGGTATAAAGAGGATAAGGGTTACGAGTAGTACGTGTACCTTTTCTTTGAGCAATGAGAAGAGCCTCTGGTGAAGGATCCGGAGGGGAAGAATCAACTGCAGGGGGCAATGAGTCAGCAGGGGTCGAGTCGACTGGAGGTACTGTGTTACGACGCTGATAAGTGAGAAGTGGACGGTTCTCAGGTACTGGAGCAATAGGTGATTGCTTATCTGGAGTAGAAGCACCTGCATCTGGCAAAGACAAGTCAAGAAAAGGAACAGGAAGAACATGATCAACCTGTGACAATGGTGATGGGATAGAATTAAAGGGTTGTTGATCAAGAAAGGTGACATCAGCGGAAACTAAGTAACGCTTGAGATCAGGAGAGTAACAGCGATAACCCTTTTGAAGACGAGAATAACCCAGAAAAATGCATTTAAAGGCTTTGGATGTTAACTTATCCTTACCAGGAGTGAGATCATGAACAAAACAGGTACAACCAAAAACATGTGGGGATAGAGGAAAGAGAGGAACATCTGGAAGCAATAAATTATGAGGAATGTCATTGTGGAGCACAGATGAAGGCATGCGATTGATGAGAAAACAAGAGATGAGTACAGCATCTGCCCAGAAGTGAAGGGGAACCTGCATATGAATAAGAAGGGTACGGGCAGTTTCAATGAGATGTCTGTTTTTACGTTCAGCCACCCCATTTTGTTGTGGAGTGTGAGGACAAGTAGTTTGATGTAAAGTACCTTGTGTGGCCAAGAAATTAGAAAAATCAATAGAAACATATTCCTTAGCATTATCACTACGTAGAAAACGAATAGAAACACCAAATTGAGTATGGATCTCAGTAGAAAACTTTTTATAAATGGAAAATAACTCAGAACGATTTTTCATTAAATAGGTCCAAGTGCAACGGGAAAAATCATCAATAAAGGTAACGAAATACCGAAAACCTAAGACAGACAAGGTACGACTTGGACCCCAGATATCTGAATGAACAAGAGAGAAAGGGGCATCAGCTCGTTTATTGACTAGACTGGCAAAAGAGGAGCGTGTATGCTTCCCTTGTTGACATGACACACAATCTAAAGACTGAAGACCGGACAAAAGAGGAACCATTTTCTACAACTTTGAAAGACTTGGATGACAAAGGCGACTGTGGATAAGTTGTGGAGATTCTGTGAGAGAGCATGCTACTGAAGGACGAGGCATATCCAGATAATAAAGCCCCCGTGACTCACGACCCACTCCAATCATTTTCCCCGTACCCGGATCCTGCACAGAAACAGAATGGTTAGAGAAAGTAATGGTGCAAGTGAGGGAGTGGATCAACTTACTAATAGAAATTAAGTTATAAGGGATGCCAGGAATGTAATAGACAGATGTCAGGGCCAAGGTAGAGGTCGGACGAGCTTGTCCAATCCCACGAACTGGGGCTTTGGTTCCATCTGCAAGGGTAAAAGACGGTAAATGATCAGAATAAGTAAGAGATGTAAAGAGTTCCTTATTACCACAGAGATGATCGGTAGCACCGGAGTCAAATATCCAAGTGCCAAGTGATGTAGAATGAGAAACACAAGCAACAGGATTACCAGTATAAGGCTGAGACTGAGGAAAAGCCTTCCTGAGAGGGGTTTGGAGTGCGGCATAGTCCGAACCTGAACCAAATGATGCATTGTCTGACTGAGCTATATTTGCAACAATAGAAGGAGAGTTAACCTCCGAGAGATCAGGAGATGCTGCTGCCATTTAAAGATAAAATATAAAAGCCGTAAACGAAGGCAAACGATATCCAATCAAGAAGAACCACGCGTCTAAGGTTAGACCCACGGAGAAACAATCACAGATCCAGAAAGGGGAGGAGAAGGCGAGCTTCTCTGTCCAAGACCGGCCGGAAAAAGCCGCCGGAATAGTGCTCACGCGCCGGCAGAAGGTGGCGCGTGAAGCCCACGCGCAGTGAAGACAGGTGGCGCGTGACGGTGCGTGGGAGATGCGTTGCTGACCGGACCACCACAGACCTGGTCGCCGGGAAGAGAGGGTCCTGATCGCGTGAAGTTTGGTCGGAAAAGTCGCCGGAAAAAGTCTCCGGTTGCCTGAACAGTGATTCTGACGGCGGGCGGTGGTTCCGGTGGCCGTCGGAGGTGCCGACGCGTTTGGAAAAATCACTCAGAGGCTGTTTACAGCGCTAGAAGGCTTGCCGGAAGGACGCACGGCAAGAAAGAGGACTCCTAAGCAGTGGGCTTAGGTTTTTAAAGCAAAAAACAAGGTTTCTGAGCGGAAGCGAGGGTTCCTAGAACGAAAGAGCTCTGATACCAAGTTAAATGTAAAAGAATACGTTGTGTATTGATCTGTGTCAGGGAGTTACAATATATAGAGACCCTAATGGGCTTAAGTGTAAGGCCCAAACCTAATCCAAACCTAATCCTAATACAGTCAGAATACAGTCAGACTATTTACGGATAAGACAGAATCCAATCATATCTAATCAAATCTAATCATATCATATCTAATATTCTAACACAAAAAGGACCCAAACTAGTTTCTTTAATCTGTCTATCACAAAATTTCTTAATTGGTCATATATTTTGGCGGAGGCATAACTAAATATTAATATTGAAATTAGTAGGCCACCTGTTATTTTAAATTTAATTGTTATCTTGCTTTTTTTTCAAGCATAAATATTAAGAGAAAAGAACAAGGTGCAAAAACTGAGAATAGAGCATCCTCTTAAAAAAAGCTGCAAAGAATTAGGGATACACCAGTAATTTTGAACACAATTAACTACCTAAAGTAGTCCACGTCCTTGGTCTATTATGAGTAAAAAGCTATATACAACGGATTTTTATTTTGAAAAAATCTATTAGATGCACTAACTATAGTCTATGCCTCTATGGATGTAACCAATATGAGCAGTTCAACAGCTACACACACACGAGACATTAGTAGTTACAAAAACTTAAAATTTATTTTCAAGAGATTACTCAACATAAACTCATTCATCAGTATGACGATCGTCAGTTCTAACATCACTGTCTTCGGCTACGTGCCTACATCTAAACTAATGTCAACTGCTGAAGAAAATCTCAGGTTGATCAAATGCAGATGTAGTAAACTTCAGCATATAGTGTTAACATGAGACAACAGAAGTTACAAAAACTTCAAATTTATTTTCAAGAGATTACTCAACATAAACTCATTCATCAGTATTAGTAACGACTGACGATCTTCAATTATAACATCACTCTGTCTTTGGCTGCATCTAAACTAATGTCAACAGTTGAAGAAAATCTCAGGTTGATCAAATGTAGATGTATTAAACTTCAGTACTGTGAACATATAGCATTACCATGAAAGATCTGGCGCAAACTTCTCAGCAACAATAGCTGCTTTCAGTGCTAATTCCTCTCGCATTGCAAACTCTGCTGTGCTGAGATACTATAAAACAGTCCAAATTTCAAAGTAATCATTTTATGGTTCACCTGTAACAGCTGTTCTTTCTTTTTTTGGTGAGGATGGGGGAGGGTATACAGTGAGATTTCCAAAACCACACAAATTACTCTGGATCTAGCTTCATACCTGCAGTAGTTCTTCAACTATATCCTTTGCATTTGAAACATCACACATGCTATAAAGCAAATCTAGAGCTCGCCTCCGAATACTGAGTATAAATTCAATGCCAGTTAGAAATATTAGATTCAACATTTTATGACAGCAAGAACAAAGGAATTAGCTCTGTATCATACTTGTATTTTCAAGCACTCTAAACTTTTTTAGTACAAGAAAACTAGTTCCATAAACAGCATTAACTTTCTCTTATAAATTACAAGTTTGCAAATAAAATAATAACAATAACAATACAAATAAACCAACTTATCAGCAACACATGATTACACAGCAATAAAAGACAGGATACTCAATAAAACCCACATCTCTCTTCATCTTTGCTTTTAAGCACCTTAAACTGTAAAGCAAGGGAGAAATGGAAGCGTGCTGAGAGAAAACTAATATTATGTAAACCAAACAGTAGTTTTTTCAGACGGTGGGGTGATTCATATATATTATACTACTACATGATTCAGATTTCTGCAAGATATTCAGCATTATCGAAATGCAACTGGATAGCAAAGACTAGTGTATGGCAGTGAAGACCTAAATATAAGAATCCTTCAATCAACAAGCACATTGCGGCTATCGTACATTATGTTTCCAATTTAGTTCTGTAAAGAACCAATTCAACCTAAAAGCTTAAACTGTTGGGTGAAGCTACATTAATGGTTTTTATATTTCTCTAACACGCCCTCTCACACTAGACTCCACTGGACTTGAAGGGTGAACAATGCACAAGTCCACCTACCTGTAACTCCACAAAACTAAATTAATTATTAATTAAATGAGGGGCGGTGAGGATTGAACTCGTGACCACTTGACACGGAGGCTCTGATACCATGTAAAGAACCAATTCAACCCAAAAGCTTAAGCTGTTGGGTAAGGCTACATTAATGATTTTTATATTTCTCTAACAAGTTCAAACTAGTTTAGCAAATATGAATATCAGATGCTGGCTTCAAAGAAAACAGATATACAAATGTGTTCATTACTAACCAACAAAAATTAAAAGACAGTCCAGTTTGTGAAAGGAGAGATGGCAAAACAATGTAGGGTCAACCCAAGTATTACATTCATACAAGGTCTTTCAGCTATCAGAAGATAGAAAACTGCAACAGAAATTAATAATCCTTATTAGAATAGTAATTAGTAACATATAGCCTTCCTTGTAATGACTTCAGAACCTCCATGAAAGGGCGTGTTTCGCTTTATAACTACAACTTAAGCATATGTGTATAATTATATGTTTATGAATAGAATATGTGCAAACTGGACTTGACCGGCAAATAATTAGTGATGATATATAAAGGATTAATGATTTCAGCACATTTAACCTGATGTCAGGATCCTTCAATGAGGTAATAATCTGAGCCTGATGTCTTTTTATGATATCTTGCACATCAGTAACCATAAACATTCTAGTCATATTTTCCTGCATCGCAATAGCATATATGTTATGAACTGTGATATTGCATTCTGGCAGCAAATTTTAGTCTTCTAAACTATGATACAATGAGATCTACCACATAATATTTATATTTAGATCATGCAATCCTCCCCCTTGGCCTCTCCCCCAACAAAGATAGGGAAAGACAAGAAAAACATAAACAGGGATAAATCAGTAGTGTGTCTGTAACTTACCAAGCCAAGATATCGAATGTTTGGCTCACGGACAGCAATAAATTTTCCAAGAAGAGCCACACATTGAGACATCATCTCTTTTTCAGCATCAAGATGCATCACCTGAACAGGGCAATTAGAATATAGAATATAATCCCAATGCTTCAATGTGAATAAAAATCTGCAAGTATGTAAAGTTTTAGATTATGGGTGCACATCCCTATCAAACAATCATCTATGTGTCAAACAGAACCCACATTTTCCTACACGCTTGTGGATATAAAGATACCCATGCTAAATTTGGAAGTGGGGAGGGAGGTAACTGAATACTAAGAAATGACATTGCACCTCTCTAATTGTCTTTGTGTGAAGAATGGTGTAGATGACCCCCCCCCCCCCCCCCCCGATCTTACCTGAGATCACAAATCCCAAGTTTGTCTATGAAGAGCAGATCTAATTAGATTAGTGTCTCTCTAATTGTCTCTTTGACGTTAGATTATTATTTTCCTTTATGAGTGAAGAATGGTGTAGATGACCCCCCCCCCCCCAACACACACAACAACCCGCATAAAAAAAACCAAAAAAAACCTATATTGGAGCACTCCTATTTCTAGCTTCATAACTGCATCTATTCAAGCAGCTAAGTAATACTCAATATGAAAAACTTGGAGCATCTTTGTTTGAAACCCTAGAAATCTGAGTGCGAAGGCACTAAACTACACAGCCATTTGCATATTCCTTTGCACCATCTGTGGAAGGTCGGTCTGCAGTAATTATATAGGTTGTGAGCGTCTACTGTATAATTCTTTTATTTATTCATTTTCTGTTTTGTAAATACATTGCTAAGGGGACATTTTGTATAAATGCAATTTCTTTTCTATCAACGATTTATATGTTATTGGTAGGGATTTCTTATTAATTTGGATTTAGTTCATAACAAGCCATAAAAAACCTAAGGCCGATTTCCTATAGTCATCGGCTTAAAAGTCCCTCTAGGACTCTCCCTCGCATGACATGACATTCCCAATGAAATCAATTTGCGTGGGCCTAGTATAATATTTAGAGAAATTCTGCTAAGATTTTACCTAGTTTGGCCAACACCAAGGATTAGCTTTTACACAGAGTCATCTATATCAACAGAAGTATAATGAAACTGTTTTTATTGTTTTATATATAAAGTGCCATGCAATGACAATACCAGAGCAAGGGCTTCAAAAAGAACAGCATGGGATGCATTATTTTTGTTCACATTTTTCACAACATCAGTGCCCATCAGTATCCTTTGTAAAACCTGAAACAATTAATTCAAGGTTCACTAAAATTCATTAATTAAATAAAAATATTTGCAAGTGTTAATGAGACATGACAGACCTCAAACAATGATCTTCTGGTATTTGGATCTTCAATGGAAGGAAAATACTGAAGAGCCCTCATTGTTTTGACCTACATTAAGCACAAATCAGGTAAGCATTAAAGTGAACTTGCAGGATAAGAATAAACATTTATAAATGGAAAAGACACTAACCATTCTCAACCTATACTTCCTTCTTTTCTCACTATCAATTTAAACAAATATTTGATCTCCATTAAAATAAGTTTGAGATTTGCAATGAACTTTGATTACCACACAAGATTTGATTTCAATTTATAGTTTGAACTTTGAAGAGCTCCCAAGTCCCATCCTCTAAAAGATTGTGCAGTATCAAATCCCAAAATATATTACAACCAGTGCATTATAAGTTCAGCACAAAGCCAAGTTTTCTCAGAGACATAAAAACATCAGTAAACTTAGCTTATCTTCACATCACAACAATGAACCAACAAATAATATAAAGTTGTTAGAAAAGGAAATTTTGCTAAAACAGATAAACTATAATTTTAGTTCTCAATCTCATTAAAAGGCAAGCTACAAGAATATCACCTGAAAACCTCCCTAAAACCAAGGTTAACACCGAAATAATTTAGATGAAAAGTAAAATTCACAAACCTGAAGCCAGGGAGATGGGATACCATAGTAAGTGTATTCTTGTGGAATATCCTGGTTCCTAGCAAGGCGCTCTAAAATTTTCACACATTTTGGAAGACAACTCCAATATGCCTCGTAATTGTTTGACACTAAGGCAACAAGAAGACTCATAGAAGATGTCAAAACACCAAGGTCTCGTTCGTCCAAAAGTTGGGCCATCCGATCCGCCCTTAAAAATATGGTAAGGGACTAATAAGATACATTTGAAGGAAAGCTTTAACGGAAAACAGCATATTACCAGCAAAGTGACATTCAAATTTACCACCCATCTACATTGACGACATCAGGATTTTTCCTGTACAACCTCAGCAAGCACAAAGCAGCTTTTTTTCTCACAAGTGGTCTACAGCTGCTAGATAACTAGATAAGAAAATATAGTGAACATAAATGATTTTCCAATCACTCCACCTATTTAATAATAATGTAGAGTTTCTTACCAGCAACGTCTGTACATCAGGTGCTAAGGACTCGGAAAATTCTCTCCCACCAATATTTCCAACCTGCGGAATAAAGACATAAATGGTGGCAGTGACTCAAGTTGAAAAGGTAATAGAGTTATTATTGTAAATTTTAAGATAATCAAACAACTATAGCTACACTTGGTTCTCTTCCAATATTTAAATGCATTTAAAAAAGATAATTTAATCGGTCAATAAAAAGTGAACTTTTGTATGATATAATTAGAACAGTGAATCATATATTAAGTGTTTAGCAACTAGAGCCCAGATAACTATATTCATAGGTACCAATCCTCACACCAAAGAAGAAAAAAAGAAAGAACATGAACCAGCTACTGTGGCTGAGAGTTCCCCCCCTCAAGCACCTCACAACAAGCCATACACTACCACTCACTAATTTCTTCCTTACCTCACTCTAGTCTATTCTACTCTTTATAATACTTCGTAAAAGAATTCTGTTATTCCCACTACACCACTATGTCCCCTGTTACTGCACTACGTGTGCTTAGCATTTTGAGCATACACCCGAGATACTAAGGGTTTATCATATATGATTCCACGCAGAGATCTTCTATCCAAGCAGATGAAAACTATAACCTAAATAAGTTAAACCGATAGAGAGCTACTCACAATCAAATACGCAAAAGAAAGGAGGGGAGTTTACTGTAAGTAATTTAATATGGTCATATCTGATCTGATTAAATTAGGTACTCGCATGGGGTTTTCTTGACAATTACCATCAGCAGAGATTTATTTCTGGAGGAAGAATACACCCTAGCAGTTGAAATTGAAAACTATAACCTAAATAAGTCGAACCAATAGAGAGCTACTGAGAATCAAATACGCAAAAGAAAGGAGGGGAGTTTACTTTGCCCATATTTGATCTGATTAAATTAGGCACTTGCATGGGGTTTTCTTGACAATTTTCCATCAGCAAAGATTTATTTCTTGAGGAAGAATAATCGAGTGCCGAGACTTATCAGCTTTTGCAATTTACTAAATGCACAAATTAGCATCTGTAAACTCTTAAATGCAAGAAATTTTAGATAACATCTCCATAGTGTAATTTTTTAATTCATATATGTTGCAATCATAATGACCAAAAAAAATACAGAGTAGAAATTTGTCAGTTTATAAATTATATATTCATTTCATTGCAAGTCCATATTCTCAGGTAAATTTTTTTGTGTCAGATGCAACAACAAAGGATGGTCATATACAAAGATACAAGCTCTTTTTCTAGGGCTTCTCATTAATATTAAGATACTAAGAGAAGCACAGTAGAACCACTAATAAATGATTTAACATGAAGACAACAGGCCTCAGAAAAGTTGACAGTTTTTCCATTACCATACCATGGTCAATGCTAGGCATTGGAATGTTTCATTGCGACCAATAATATCGTTGCGCACAGTATTTATTGCCAATCTCAGAAATTCATGATTTTCATTCAGCAAAGATGATGTCACAATGTATCCAACCTGTAGTCAGTTATTGCAATATTAGAATTCTATATTCACCCGGTAGACATTTGAATGCACTGAAATGGCACCTCATAAGAATTTTAAAGGGGGAGAAAAAAGGGGGGTTGATATACCAATAAGTCAAAATATAAGGTTTCATAAAAGGAATAAAAAAAATTACCTGCTTTTCTGGATACTTTGGAGCAGATATGAGAGAAACAACTTCCATGTGGCCAAAATCCACATCATAGCCAAGCATATATATGTAAAGCATTTTCCAAACATATTTCTTTTTCTCATATGGTGCCACACCCTAAAATAGAACCAAAAAGGATAAAATTAATATACATCATAGCCACGGCTATGTTTGTGTTAGAAATAATATTAGTTTTATTATTATTAGTTTATTATTCTAGAAGGTTATTTGGGCTTAGCCCATTAGGTCATTTAACCTCTTTAAATAGAGAACTCTAGTACAGTTTTATACAATTGAATACAATACATTCATACATTATAATTTGGTACCAGAGCTCTTTGTTCTGGGGATTTTTCGCTTCCGCTAAAACCCTAAGCCCACTGCTTAGGCGTTCTCTCCTTCCTCTAACGTCGTGCGTCCCTCCGGCTTGGTTCTACATTGTTCACGCGGGTTTCAAAAAAAAAATATTGTTCACCGCATCCGTACAGATTTACTATTCACTCGTCCGTACGATCCGGTGTGTCAATAGAATTGATGAGCAGAATATTTGGCATTATTTGTGCAGATTTGTAATTATATCCTTAATTAATTAGCCAGTTGTAGGTTATGATTGTATAGTTATGATTGTGTAATTATATCATACTATTTAAATGAGAATTCTCCAAAGGAGAACATAAGGTTTTATCCCAATTTCTCTAAGTTTAACATGGTATCAGTCTAGGTTTGGTTACTAAATTTTTCACTGTGCTCACAGTCTCTGAGTTCCCAAGTTCTAGTCTTTTGCGCGTACTGTTCACGTCGCGATTCTTGTTTTTTTTCCTCTCGCGATTTTTCTCAGCATCATGTCTACTGAAAAATATGATGTTCTTTTTGTTCGTCTTAATGGAAAGAACTACTCCACCTGGGCATTTCAGTTCCAGATCTTTGTCAAAGGCAAGGAGCTTTGGGGTCATGTTGACGGAACTAATTCTGCTCCTGACAAAACTAAGCACCAAGCGGCACATGCCCAATGGGAGGCCAAAGATGTACAGGTAATGACTTGGATCATAGGCTCTGTTGAGCCTAGTATTGTCCTCAATCTCAGACCCTTCACAACGGCAGCAAAGATGTGGGACTATTTGAAGAAAATTTATAACCAAACAAACACTGCTCGCAGGTTCCAGCTTGAACATGAAATTTCTCTTTTTCAACAGGATAGTCTCTCAATTTCTGAATTCTACTCTCATTTCATGAATCTTTGGGCTAAATATACTGACATTGTCTATAAAGATTTGTCGACTGAAGGACAAACTGCAGTCCAAAATGTTCATGACACCACAAAACGAGATCAATTTCTTATGAAATTGAGATCTACTTTTGAGGGCATTCGCACCAACCTAATGAACAGGGCTCTTGTTCCCTCCTTGGATGAATGTCTAAATGAATTGCTTCGTGAAGAACAACGTCTCCTTACTCAGACAAACATGGAACACCAGAAATCTGCCTCCCTTCCTGTAGCGTATGCAGTACAAGCCAAACCACGAGGTCGAGACATGAGTACTGTCCAATGTTTCTGCTGCAAAGGCCATGGACATTTTGCTTCAAACTGTCCTAAAAAGTTCTGTAATTACTGCAAAAAAGAAGGTCACATCATCAAAGAATGTCAAATCAGACCACCACGGAGAAATGCAACAGCCTTCACTGCCATTGTTGGCTCTTCTACTACTCCTGTTTCTGTGGATCAGAATCCGCCTGTTTCTGTGCCAACTTTAACCCCTGAAATGGTTCAACAAATGATTGTTTCTGCATTTTCTGCTTTGGGTCTTTCAGGTAAAGTTTCTTTATCCAGCTCTCCTTGGTACTTTGACTCTGGCGCATCCAATCATATGACCAACAATGTTGCTTCTCTTACCAATGTTACAAATTACTCTGGTAATTTACAAATACACACTGCGGATGGAAACAATTTACCTATCACAGCAATTGGTGATATTTCTTCATCTCTTACCAATGTTTATGTTTCCCCTGATCTCACCAGTAACCTTATTTCAGTTGGTCAATTAGTTGACAGTGATTGCAAAGTTGAATTCTCAAAGTCTGGTTGTCATGTGCAGGATCAACACTCAGGGAAGGTGATCGCGAAGGGGCCTAAAGTTGGACGTCTTTTTCCTCTTTATTCATTGTTGTCACCATGTTCTTTTCAGCCTTTTATTTCTTGTAATTCTGCAACTGTTAATTTTCAATTATGACATAAGCGTCTTGGTCACCCAAATTCGAATGTACTTCATGCCTTAATGAAATCTGGAGTTCTTGGCAATAAACATTTCCCATCTTTTAGTGCTGTTCAATTTGATTGCAATTCTTGTAAACTTGGTAAAAGTAAAATTCTACCATTTCCAGTTCATCAATCAAATGTAAATCAGCCTTTTGACATAATTCACAGTGATTTATGGGGCATCACACCTGTAATATCTCATGCACATTACAAATATTTTATCACTTTTATTGATGACTATAGTCGTTTCCCATGGGTCTATTTTTTGCGATCTAAAGCTGAAGCTTTCTCTGCATTCCAATTTTTTCATTCCTATGTTCAAACTCAGTTTGCATCAAAAATTAAAACTCTGCGTTCTGACAATGGGGGGGAATACACATCTCATTTGTTTCAAGAGTTCTTGCAGAAAAATGGTATATTATCTCAAAGGTCGTGTCCTTCCACACCCCAACAAAATGGGATAGCTGAAAGAAAAAACCGTCATCTTCTTGATGTTGTCCGTACCTTAATGTTGGACTCTTTAGTACCCTCCCGTTATTGGTGTGAAGCTCTCTCAACTGTTGTCCACCTTATTAATCGGCTGCCTTCTCCAGTCTTGCACAATGATTCCCCTTTCTTAAGGTTATTTGGTAAGCAACCGAATTATTGAACTCTTCGCACCTTTGGTTGTGTCTGTTATGTTCATCTTCAGCCACCAGAACGCACCAAACTCACAGCTTAATCTGTTAAATGTGCTTTTCTTGGTTACTCAGCCCATCAAAAAGGTTTTTTATGCTATGATCCTCACTTACATAGGATTCGGGTTTCTAGAAATGTCATCTTTCAAGAAGATACATATTTTTTTGCTACTAACCAAGACACTCAATCTTCTACATCCAAATTTGTGTTGCCATTGTTTCCTAACAGTTTTGCAGAAGACCAAGCTCGTCCTCCTGTCATTGTCTACCAAAGACGTGCGACTGTTCCACCAATTCAGACTTCAATCCCTTCAAGGCCCCCTTCTAATCATTCTCTGGCTGCTGATCCAGTGCATGCACTAGAACCTGCCCCTTTACGTCGCAGTACTCGCATTCGTAAACCACCGGAAAAGTATGGTGTTTCTGAATCTTTATCTTTGACAGCAACTTTAGCATCTATTCCTATTCCTTCTTCATATAAACAGGCAATGGAGCATAAATGTTGGCAGGATGCTATAGAGACTGAACTTCTTGCACTAGAGGAAAATCAAACATGGGACATTGTTCCATGTCCTTCATCGGTTAAACCTCTTGGCAGTAGATTTGTATTCACTATAAAGTTGCGTTCAGATGGATCCATCGATCGATACAAGGCTAGATTGGTTGTTCTTGGAAATAAGCAAGAATATGGCCTAGACTATGAAGAGACCTTTGCGCCGGTGGCCAAGATGACTACTGTGCGGACTATTATTGCCATTGCTGCATCTGAATCTTGGCCAATTCACCAGCTAGATGTCAAAAATGCCTTCCTTCATGGTGACCTCAAAGAAGAAGTTTACATCAAACTTCCTACGGGTATGCCCTCACTATTACCTAATACTGTTTGTAAGCTAAAACGTTCTTTGTATGGATTAAAACAGGCACCAAGAGTGTGGTTTGAAAAGTTTAGCACAACATTACTTGGTTTTTCCTTCATCCAAAGTAGCTATGATCCATCTCTTTTTCTACAAAGGACCTCCAAAGGAATTGTGATTCTCCTTGTTTATGTGGATGACATTATCGTCACCGGCTCAGATCAAGAGGCTATCACTACAATCAAACAATTGATGCATACAAATTTCCACATGAAAGATCTTGGACAGCTCACTTATTTCTTGGGATTAGAAGTACAATTCCAACAAAAAGGCATCTTTGTCACTCAGCACAAATATACTCAGGATCTAATTCAGCTAGCTGGTCTCACCACTGCAACTATGGTTGACACTCCCATGGAAGTTAATGTAAAGTTAAGACGGGATGAAGGTGACCTTCTACAAGACCCAACTTTATATCGAAAGTTGGTAGGAAGTCTCATCTACCTCACCATCACAAGACCTGATATCTCTTTTGCTGTCCACATAGTCAGCAAATTCATGCAAAATCCTAGACACTTGCATCTTACAGCAGTACAACGAATCATTAAATATTTGTTGGCCACTCCCAGCCGTGGTATCTTCTTTCCGACAAATGCAACAATACAACTTCAAGCATACAGCGATGCTGATTGGGTTGGATGTCCCGACACAAGGAAGTCTACTACTGACTAGTGTATGTTTTTAGGAGATGCCCCTATCTCCTGGAAATGCAAGAAACAAGAATCTGTCTCTAAATCCTCCACTGAAGCAGAATATCGGTCCATGTCTGCAGCATGCTCTGAGATTATTTGGTTACGGGGCCTTCTTTCAGAACTTGGTTATTCACAAGCAACACCAACTCCGTTGTATGCTGATAATACAAGTGCCATACAGATTGCAGCAAATCCTGTATACCATGAAAGAACAAAGCACATAGAGGTCGATTGTCATTCAATCAGGGAAGCTTATGACCGTAGAATTATCACTCTACCTCATGTCTCAACATCTGTTCAACTAGCTGACATCCTCACCAAGTCTTTGACACGTCAACGACATAATTTCCTCGTCAGCAAATTGATGCTTGTAGATTCACCAACATCAATTTGAGGGGGGATGTCAATAGAATTGATGAGCATAATATTTGGCATTATTTGTGCAGATATGTAATTATATCCTTAATTAATTAGCCAGCTGTAGGTTATGATTGTATAGTTATGATTGTGTAATTATATCATACTATTTAAATGAGAATTCTCCAAAGGAGAACATAAGGTTTTATCCTAATTTCTCTAA